TTGGAATCTTTAAAAAGACTTACATTTAGGAACGGAAGGAGTATTAAAGAAAGAGGGATAAACAACACGACCAATCCAAAACAACTCGGAAAGAAATAGAAAAGTGAACTACACACCCAACCGAGGAAGAGCTAACACGCAAAACCCTACAAGCCTAACACAAAAGATGCAGCTAATGAAGGATCAGACGACCAAAACTCGCCATCTCCCATTGCCCAGCGTCGGCTTTGATTTGATCAACGACATTTTGTAAAGGCGTGAAGCGATCATCAAAGACTCTTCCATTTCAGTAGCCGGCCGTCGAAGGAAAAACCTTTCAGTCCGCTCGCTCCGTCGCTCATGCGTTGCAGTCTCGCTACAGTGCTTCTTACCGTTTGTGATGATGGATGATGCGATGCAGGAGGCAGTGAGTAGTCTCACTCCGCGACCCCACGGCCACGTGTGATCCACCGCGTGGCTTTCGCTCCTGTGCGCCGAGTCTGAACTGAAATCGTGAAACGGTAGCACGTCCATGTTGACATTAGCAAATCTTGCGAGTCGCGATCGAGCACATGATGAGGGTGATGCTGACGCGCAGGTCTGCAACATCAGCGTTCAGCAATAGCCAGAAAGCAGTCCAATGTAGTTCTTTTCAGAACACACAGTATTTTTATTTTGTACTAGCTGGATAGATGTTTGCCGCTCGGTTGCTCGTGAGTTTCAGTCTCGCTACAGTTCTTACCGCTGCTCATGGATGGATGGTGTGATACATGAGTGACAGGGAGAGGTCTCGCTCTGAATCCCGACGTGTGCGATCTTTATGGATGTGCTTTTGGGTCTGTTTGATTCCCAGCCACAGTTTGTCAAGCTAAAATTTAACAGTCACACTTTAATTGGTATATTTTGGCTTGCCATATTTTGTTGTCTCTATGGTCCACTTGTCATAGAGATAATTTTTTTGTCAACTTTTGCCAAAGTTTAACATCCAATTTCTCAGCCACACTTGTCTCCAACCAAACATACCTGACTCCTGCTGCGCGACGTGTCTGAAATGGTTTCACATCCTGGTTGACATTATAGGAAATCTCGTGATCGAGTGCATGATGATGCCGATGCTGATTGCCAATGCTGATTGCCCTGAGTCTGGAAATAGAACATTCGTGCGTGACCTCCGGTACACATGAGTAGCAACTTTAGCAGACTCGCTGCATGTGGCCGATCGCCAAACTAATCGACCGTATGATGATTTTTTTAGAAGGGCAGTCTAAGAGCACGTACAGCTTCCTCGCAAAAATAAAATGAAAAATAAGAGCATGCACAGCTGGGCATCCTAAACTCCCCTCAAACGCCCGGTCATTGACCGGTCAAAAAAAAAAACCTGACCCATACAGGCGTCTCAAACGGGCATCAAACATCAGAGCTGACCAGTATTCCTTATATCCAGTTCAAATATGGGACGGATATGAGAGATCCAGACGCGACCGAGCGTGTCCGTCACGTCAGACTACGATGGGATCGCACACGTAATCGCTCAGACACCCGACAGTCCGATGGTCGTCTCCTCCGCTAGGGGTGTGAACACCGCGTCGCGCCGCTCCATCTCGCCGCCCGAAGCTTAATCCGGATATTTAAACCGGCCGATGTCCCCCAACCCTAGCCACATCCACCTCCTCCCTCTCTGCACCAACAGCTCGAGCCCATCCACCTCTCTCCCGCTCCGCTGCTCTTCCCACGCCGTCCAGCTTCGCCATGACCAAGCAAAAGATGGCGACATATTATATGCTCACGCCGGAGTGCCGATTCTAGATAGATCGAGGAGGAGATACGGGCAAGGCTCGCTGCTCGCATCATGACCAGCCTGCCTCCGGACTCGCGGGAGCCGGAGAAGGAGGAGGAATAGGAGGACGAGGACGAGGAGCCGAAGCAGCAGCCGGTTCTGATGTAGGTGACGGATCCGGAGGAGGACGAGGTGGCGGCCGTTGTGGGCTTCAGCATGAAGGACACCATGGCTTAGTTCGCGGTTGCCCAAGCGGCGGAGATTGCGGAGCAGCAGGCCATCCTGAAATCCATCCAAGATAAGGCCTATGTAGAGGCCATCCGGCACGAACGGGCAACGGCCAACACGCTTTTTGTCGAACTTGATGCGGAGGTAGAGGCGGAGGAGTCGGAGTTGCGACTGCCAATGGACATCTCCGACGAGGATTAGGGTAGTATAGGTTGGTGTACGTACGATTTCCTCGTTTGCATGCTTTGTATGAATTTAAAGTTTCAAATATGAAGTATCAGGATGTGTCCGCGTGCGTTTGAGGGGGCGCCCCTATGTCTCACCTTCAACAAGTCTAGGTTCCGACTCACTGAAGGGGGCGAGCGAGATGGGCCGGCCCACGCGTGCAGAAAGGCCACAACCACTTTTTCTGTTTTTTTTACATTTTTGTTTTTTTCTCTTTATTTTTGTACTCCTGTTTTATTTTTATTTTAAAAATATTACAAAAAACACTCTACAAAAACATCTAGAAAATGTTGAACAAGTATTTTAAAAATGTTAATCAAGCATTTGGGAACATGTAGAACAAGTATTTGAACAAATGTTAATCAAGCATTCGGAAGATATTAAACAAGTATTTGGAAAATATTAACAAATATTTGAAAAATGTTAATCATATATTCGGAAATGTTGAACGCGTATAGAGTTTTTTTTCATCATGTATTAAATAATGATGAATTTTTAATCATGTACATAAAAATGTTAATCAAGAATTCGGAAACATGTAGAACAAGTATTTGAACAAATGTTAATCAAGCGTTTGGAAGATACTAAACAAGTATTTGAAAAATGTTAATCACGCATTCGGAAATGCTGAACGTGTATAGAGTTTTTTTCATCATGTATTAAGTAATGATGAATTTTTAATCATGTATATAAAAATGTTAATCAAGAATTTCAAAATAATGTCGAACAAGTATTTAAAAAATGTCAATCACGCATTTGAGAAATGTTAAATGTGTATAGAGAAAATGTTGACCATGTATAAAAACATGATGAAAAAAGTTGATCATGTATATAGAAATGTCGAACAAGTGCTTGAATAATGTTAATCAAGAGTTTGGAAAATGTTAAATGTGTATAGAAAAATGTTGACCATGTATTCATAAAATGTTAATTCTTTTATTTGAAAACTCTTAATCAGGCATTTAAAAAATGTATAGAAAAAAATATTTACCATGTATTAAAAAACACGATGAAGGGGGGAAGGTTGAACGAATGAGCGGTGGGGACACGAGTGAAAGATGGAATCTTGGCTTCTTTTTAAATATAGTAGAGATAGAGATAGAGAAGAGATAAAAAATGTGTAAGGTTGAAAACAAATGATACTACATTATTTTTCTCATCCAGAAACACACATATGGTTTTGGTTTCTGTTTGACAAGGCAATACAGGAAGATAAGCTGAGGGAACATGATGCTTACTTGTGCTTATTTGTCAGTGGTGTCATCCTACGGCCGAGCATGCCACGGTGTTGTCGCACGACCCCTCTGCAGCCAAGCCACCACCCTTTATCGTAGCCTGGCCAGATCACACAACAGCGACCTTGCGCGACCCCTCCGCCGCAGTACCATTGCCCTCCGCTGCAGCTACACACGTGGACGCTCGATCGACAGTGCCGTCACCATCCATTGCGTGCCGCCGCCGAGTTTCTAGGGTTTGGGGAAGATTTAGGGATAGGGACGAGTCGGGTACTCGGGTTGAGATGGCCGGTTCGACCTCTCCTTCGAGATGACGGGGATTATTTTGTCCACGTGAAAAAAACTGACAAGAATTAAACGGTAGACACAAATGGAAGTGACAGAAGTGTCATAAAGGCACAAAATTTAGACTTAGTGTTAGATAGGGAAGATTTTTTGTTTCAGTGTAAAATAGGGAAACTAATTTTAAGATAGTGTTTTCTTAGCAAACTTTAAGATGGTGTTAAGTAAGGAATTTCCCTCTTTTTTTCTTTTTTCTAACAGTCACCGGGGGAAAGAATCCTCACTTGAATATACTCTCTTTTTTTTAGACCAGCAGACCGTCTCATCGCCAGCCGCCAGCCCACTAAATCATGATTTCTCTAGCACAATAAACAGGATTAGAAGATAACCAATGCGGGCCTACTGCTTCTGCTCTGCTTCCTCTGAACAGTAAAAAATTATCATCTGCTCTGCTTCGCCGGGTCCTCCATTTCTTCCGCCACTCAGCCGCCGGCTTGCGTCTCTACCCGCGGGCCGCGGCCACCCTTCCCCGCGACGAACTCCGCTGTCAGATTCCTCCGCCCCGGCGGCAGCCTCAGCCTCAGCCTCAGTTCTCGACCCCCAAGATAGAGGTAACGCCTTCTTCCTTCGGTCCTTCCTTTCCTACCAACCGATCTCCGCGATTACTGCTAGTTTACATGTGATGCGCGCACGATGCAAACCCCAGAAGGGAATGATGTCAAAGCGTGCAATCTAAATCTGATAGCTAAGATGGGTCCATTGTGCTAGACTGCTGGTCATGTACTCATATAAATACTTTCGCAAAAAAAAGTACTCATATAATTGATAAGTACTCCATCCGTAAAGAAATATAAGAGCGTTTAGATTACTAAAGTAGTAATGTAAACACTCTTATATTTGTTTACAGAGGGAGTATATACGTAAAACACTCAAGGTGGTTCAAAAAATTACAGAGGGATAAGCTGGTACACCAAGTCTCACTCTAATCCTATACATGAGATTAAAGTTCAATCTTAACAACCGAGTGATTACAACAAACAGACGCATGCGCTACACCCTGGACTTATTCTAGAACTTATGGTTTATACAACACCATATATAGGTACAATTCACCAGCACAAATATACCATTATGGCAATACAACAAAGATTCGCAAGACACAACTGCATTTTTTTGTTTGGAACAAGCTGGAGCCTGTTGAAATGGCAGCTTGCTCCCCTTAATCCTTATGACCGACCCTGGCTAGTCGCATTGATTGAATGGCTTTGTATGCTTTAGTTTATGGGTTCTATTTCCAAGCGCAACCCCTTGTCAAATCTGCCTCTTATTATCTGCAACTCTTTCAGAGCTTCCCCGATTTCGATGCGATTTGTCGGTGTCTCCTGTGAACACGAAATTCCAACGTGCAAAGCGGAGGTGATGCAAGCAATTCTGAGATCCATGGTGCTGCCAGAGTTTGTGGTGCTTTCTTCGCCATCTTCTATCTCTGCTAGTAAGTATTGGTCTATGACCTCTGCTGCCCTGTCTGGCAATGACATTTGCACATACTTGTGAAGGCCAAAGGATTCTCCAAATTCACTGTCCGTTGGCCTTTTCCCAGTGAACATCTCCAGCAATAATATCCCGTAGCTGTAGACATCACCATGGATTGAAACTTCGTTGCCTAGTCCGTACTCTGAAATTGACAGAAAATTATGAGCAAAATGAAATGGCCATGTTAAATTGGGGGGTGGGGGGGGGGGGTCAATTGTGAAAACTGATTCCAGAATTGTACATATCTAGTTCAGTTCTAATTTCTAAGATAAGTAATTTTTATCAAAGTGCGAACTAATAAGAAGCGTAAGGGGAGTAAAGTGCTACAACAACTAAAAGCTCACCTGGAGCAGCATAGCCGATTGTGCCTCTCATTGATGCCCAACCAGTTGATTTCTCCGAGTCCTGATGTAGAAACCTTGCAAGCCCGAAATCACCAACATGAGCAACCATTTCACCATCGAGGAGAACATTGCTTGGCTTAAGATCACAGTGAATAATTGGGATTGGCTTGTGGTGATGGAGGTATTCGAGTGATGATGCTACATCAATTGCAATCTGCAGCCTCAAACGGAGATGTAGTGTCCTATTTTCACCATCTTCCATGGGATGGTGGTGTACCCATCCATCTAAATTTCCATTTGGTAAGTATTCGTACACAAGGGCCTTGAAGTCACAGCTTTGAAAATCAATGCTCGAGCACACAGTTAATATCTTCATAAGATTCCTATGTCGAACGCATTTCAGGGTCTCACATTCTGCAACAAAACTTTGAGATGCACCTCGCTGCGTGAGGTTGAGCACCTTCACAGCAATCACCACCTGCTGGTCATTTATCCTCATTGTTCCCTTGTACACCGAGCCGAAGCTTCCTGCACCAAGGAGGTTCTCTGAAGCAAAACCATTAGTTGCAGTGACTAGTTCAGCATAAGAAACCCTCAAATATTGCTCGTCGATGGATGATGTCTGCATGTTTGCTTTCATCTTCCTGCTCTTACTGTAGAATGTCGACAGTGCAAATACCAATGCAATAAATACAACTGCACCACATATGGAGAATATTATGGCCAGCTTCTGAGTTGGTTTCTTGGTGGTGAGGTTGGAACAGTGTGGCAGTTTCAGTTGAGGGATTCCATTACACAGACCATCATTTCCCATAACTGAGGCTGAGGCAGAAGCTGCGTTGCTGAAGATCCCATCTGTTGGAACCTCACCCTCCAAGTTGTTGAATGAGAGATTCAAACCAGCTAGCCCTTTCATGCCCCCGAGGAACACAGGAATGTTCCCTGAGAGATTATTATATGAAAGATCAAGCATCAGTAGGGCTTTCATCTGCATGATTGACGACGGAATTGTCCCTTGAAGCTTGTTCCGGGATACATTCAGATACTGTAATGACTGACAGTCTCCAAGTGAGATCGGAATCTCTCCAGATATTAGATTACCGGAGAAATCAAGTTCCCCAATATTCTTTAGGTTACCTAATTCTATAGGCAAACCTCCGGTTAATAGATTATTTTGGATATTCACATAGATGGACAATGTGTTTATGAGGAATAAGTCCCTAGGTATTGGACCAACAAGGCTGTTGTTTGAAAGGTCTAGTTCTTGTAATGGACATCCTATAAGACTAGAAGGTATGCTTCCACTAAGCATGTTGTCACCAAGATGAAGCAGGCTTAGTTGGGTAAGATTGCCAAATGTTAGAGGGATGGATCCTGATAGTTCATTCGTTCCAAGTATTAACGAATTTAGTCCCTTCATTTTGCCAAGAGAGGTTGGAATAGTACCCTCTAAATGATTACCTTCCAGAATAAGTGTTTGCAGATTGGTCAAGTTTGCTATTGCTCCAGGAATCTTTCCCGTTATGCTGTTAGATCCCATGCTCAGAAACTCTAGATTTGTGGAGAAGGTGCCTACTGAACTCGGTATTTCACCTTCAAGCATGTTGTTACCCAAATCCAACAGTTGCAAATTACTACAATTGCTTAGGCTGGACAAGAAGCCCCAGTCGGCATCTTGTGTTGCTTGAATATGGTTTTCGGCAATGGTTAATGCGGACAAGCTCGCCAAGTGAATTCCTAGGCAACTGGGAATTGTTCCTGTTAGGGAGTTATGAAGGAGCTGAATCATTTGAATCATAGAGGCATTGCACAAAGAGGAAGGAATAGGACCATGGAATTGATTGAAATCTGCAAGGAAGAACTGTAGATTTGGAAGGTTGTTTCCCATGTCAAATGGAAAAGACCCATTGAGGTTATAATTGAGTTGTACATCGAGGTATGAGACCTTGGAGGTAGGAAATTGAGGTAGGAAAGATTGAACATCGAAGGAGGCAATGGCCCTTCCAATTCATTATTATCTAGGTCAATTTCAGAGAGGGAATGTAGGTTTCCAATGGAGTGAGGTATGAGACCTGTAAGATTATTGAATGACAGATCAAGGAGTTCAAGCAAATTGAGGTTCCCTAGCGATTCAGGAATTCGTCCAGTTAAATGGTTTTGCTGAAGATCTAAAGAATATAGTGATGTGAGGTTTCCTAACCCAGCTGGGATGGATCCTGTCAGATCATTGTATGCTAATACGAGTATGGAGAGAGATGAAAGACTATGTAATGATGGAATACTCCCTGTCAGGTTATTTAAGCCCAGGCCAAGAAAGGCCATTTCCGAGAGATTTCCTATTGAACTTGGGATAGAACCAGACAATTGATTTGAGCTTAGAGCGAGCGTGCCTAATTTGACAAGGTTACCTATTCCAGGGGGTATTTCCCCTGTTAGCTTGTTGCTTGCAATTTGCAGAAACTCCAGATTCACAAGGTTGCTGATCTCCAAAGGGATGGTTCCTTGAAGCTTGTTGTAGCTTAGATCGAGTACCTTGAGATTGTGCAAGGAGCCAAGCTCATGTGGTATCTCCCCTTGGAGCTCGTTCTGGAAGAGCACAATGGAACGTAGGTTGGACAAGGCGGCAAGCTCCCGCGGTATCTCCCCTTTCAGCCTGTTATATCCAAGGCTGATGCGCTCAAGATGCCAGCACCGTGAAAGCGACGGCGGAATAGCGCCATCCAGAGAGTTGTGCGACAGGTTAAGATGCTTCAGGTGCCAGAGGTGGCCAAGCGCTGAAGGCACGGCACCATGCAGGCGGTTCCTTGGGAGGCTGAGCATCTTCAGGAATGTGAGGTTGGCCACCGAGGTGGAGATGGTGCCCATAAGGCTGAGATGGCCGAGGTCGAGCGCTACGACCCGTCCACGGCGGCGTCCTCGTCTGCCGCATGCCACGCCATGCCATCGGCACATGGGCATGGACCGGTTGCCCCATGACTCCAGAGCTTGCGAGGGGTCACTCCTTATGAGCGACTTGAAGGAGAGGAGAGCAAAGTGGTCGCTGGAATTGTTTAGGGCGGTTCCAGCACGTGAAATCGGTGCTGACCCCGTGCTAAGAACAAGTGCTAGGAGCAGAGAAACAAGCATGGGGAACTCTGCACGCACCATATTTCAACCAAGGCTTTCTTTCTTTCTGCTCACTTCTTTCTGATTGTGTGCTTGCCTTCTTGGGGTGCATTCTATATAATGGATTGAGCAAGGCAAGTTGCTCGGATGTTCATGAAGGAAGATTCTTCGAAACTCATCTGCAGTTGACTCGTCAACGGTCTTTGTGAACTTAATTAGTATCATTTTCAGTTTGCTGTCAAGTTGGGGACATATATACAAGTCAGTCAACAAAGTACTCAATGCTCGACTTGTCAGTCAACATCACCCGCCATTTCTCTGGCCCATATAGGACTTGCGAGTCATCTTACGTTGATTTATGCATTATTGTCTTTCTTTTGCGATTAAAAAAATTGCAGACAGCGGCAGGAGTACTGCTATTCCACTGAGAAGAAAAACAACTATGCATACAAAAACACACAGACGGGAAAGCATGTTCCCTGTGGGTCTATCTTAAACAATTAATTAAGCATCTTCTAGATGCTTCGATTTAAATTTATGGCAACCCTTAACGTTTTTATGCCAAATTTAGTGACCCGAGGATGGCACTTTAGTTGTCAAGTATGACAACTTTCTGTTTGTATGGCAAGTTTAAGTTTTTTTTTGGGTTAACTTTAGTTGTAAAAAACGTCTGGGCCGAATTTTGTCGTGGTACATGTGTGACACTTATCATTTGAAAATATTTTCGTGCTCGTTCCTCTTCTCCCCTTCACTTGATATCATGTCCTCTTATTTCACGTGTAATGCAAGGAACAGAGGAGCGAGCACGCACCATTCTTTTCCATGTACTTACCCATCCCCTAGTTTCAGCCGGGTTTTTTTAAATGTCAGGAGCGGCAAAGCATTCACTAGCAGAGAGCGCCTCCTATGTCGGACCACGACTCTTTTTTCCAAGTTATTAAATTTCCTGAAGAAAGGATGTTCTTCGGAGATTATTTTTTAGAAACATTATTATGACTTTATTTCTAGAGAAATTTTATTATGTAATCATATATGTATATATACAATTTGAAAATATTTTCGAAAATTTTAAATGCTTATGATTTTTGGGTATTTTGTAAAATATTCATCGATTTAAAAAAATTCATGAATTTTATTTTTTTACGAATTTCAAAATAATTGAATTTTGGAAATAGTTGGTAAGTTAAAATATTCGTTAAAATAAAAAATATACATAGATTGTTGAAGAATACTCGTAAGTTTTAGAAATTTTCTATTTTTTATGAATTTAAAAAATGTTCATTTTTTCAAAACAATCTTGAATTCCATAAATACATGTTTTTCAAATATATTCAAGAATTTAAAAATACTAATGGTTTAGAAAAAATGTGCATGAATTTCAAAACTGCCTGTGATTAAGAAATAGATGTATTTTAAAAAATGCTAAGAAGTTCTATGCTATATTTTAAAAATAGAGAAACAGTAAATATAAGAGAAAAGGAACCGCCCGCAGCCCCGCAAGTGGACAGCCCACGAAAAATGGGTTTTACGCAATATGACGTAGCCCGATAGTGAGAAACAAACATGCTTTATCTAGTAAACTAGTACTAACCCCTCTAAAAACATTAAACTAGTACTATCTTCTAGCCTAAAAAAGACGTTGATAATGCCCACACATGTGGTGGAAGCAACACCTGCCCACATACCGTGTGTGGTGTAAGCAGACAGTGCACACGGGTTATGTGTGGGCAAACATTAGAACGGCCCACACGTGTGAGCGCACCTACTTCGTGCCACACGCCCAATAAATACTACTCATCTTCATCCCACGCATGTGGCACAAAGCAAATATGCTCACACGTCTTGACGCAGCTACATTAGTTATCCGTGAGATGACGCTTTAGTTACCAAGGGGATGGCAACTTTAGTTATCCGGAATGGAAAATGTAGTTGTAAAAGCATGACAATTCTCTGTTTTGGTTAACAATAGTTGCATGTCTAATTTATGGTAGTTGCCGCGTGTAATCAAATCATAGTTGCCATGTGTAATTAACTACTTGCTACATGTGTTCAAACAATAATTGCCATGTGTGTTTACCTAGTTGCCGCACGTAGTCCAACCATAGTACATGATTAATCATAGTTACCATGTGTGTTTACCTGGTTGCCGCGTACGCGCAACTGCAGTTTTCATCTGCCAATGAATAATAGTTACCATGTGTGTGTTACCTAGTTGCCACATACGCGCAACTGCAGTTGTCATCTATCACTATACAAGTCGTCGTGTGGGCGAAGAGCAGTTCATCCACACGCGGGCGGACTAGGTGGTCATTGTGTGGGCGGGAACTGATTCACCCACAAGACGCCGCCGGCAACCGTGCGCTGCGTGTCGTGTGGACGAGCGCTTTAATGCCTAGACAACATGCTATGCCTACGTGGCACTGAAATTCCAACATATTTTTTTAGGATTTATGCAAAACAGAATCAACGCCTGTGGACGAAGTGCAAACATGTGGACGTTATCATTTGGGTGAAAGAAAACTTCTAGCCTAAAAAAATTTAAAATATCTTCTTCTAGAAAAAGATTTAGTAAAATATCACTATATATGACGTAGCCCACGATTTTCTCTTCTAAATAAAAAAAGTAAAAATAGTCTTCAACTGTACGCTGCCGCTGATTTTAGTTGCTGCTGCTGTAACACCCGGATAATCAAGTTACAATAATCCCATGCTAATGATGCCACGTCACCACGGTTACTGTTGCTAATCATTCGTTAGTTCAAAACCGATACAAAAATCAATTAAAAATATGGCAAACAAACAAATGTATTCAAACATTGAAACAAAAATGTTTGGTGGGTGCCAAATATTGCACTGGTAATTATTGTGGAGAAAACATTTTTTAGAGTGAATTAAAACAGAAAAGGAATAAAAGAAAATAAAAGAACAAAAACAGAAAAACAAAACTAACGAAAAATGAAAGGGCCTCCTTGCCAACTGGGCCAGACGACCCAGCTAGCCACAGGCCGGCCCAGCTGCGGCCCACCCCCACTCCCATTATCTCCCCCCTCTCCCCCGATTGGATCGGGATCGAGAGGAGGAGGTCGCCGCCTCGCCCTCGTCGTGACGACCGCGCCGCCCGTCGCCGTTGGCCGCCGCCGCCCGGAGCGCTCCCTCGCCGGTCTGCTCCCTCTCCGACGTCGTCGTCCCCTTCACCCTCCTCGCGCACCGCTGCCACGATCCCTGCGCCCCTGCCGAGCTGCGCCCCACTCCGGCTGGCTCCTTCCGTAGCACACGCTGCACCTTCCCTGCTCATCGCATGACCAACCGTGCCGCCCGCACGATGCGCGCGTCCCATGCGCCCGCGCCGTGGCCGGCCCCCTCCTGGCCGCGCCGAAGCGCGCGCGCCTGCACCCCGTGCTCCTCGCCTCGCCCCTGATGCCTCCCTCCACCGCGACCTCCCTGCTCCCTTCTGCCCGTGCCGCAGCTCAGCTCCCGCTTGCGCCGCACCGCCCGTTCCGCCGTCGCCTTCGTCCCGCTGCCCGCGGGCCGGACCCCGCTCCGGCAGTGGCCGGGCCGTGGCCACCGGACTCCCCTGCCTCGGCGCCCTGTCGGGTCCGCCCGCACCTGGGCGTGTGCCCGCTCGGGCCGTGCCCTTCGCCCGCTAAGGCCCCTAGGGCCTATGACAAACGGGGCCCACGCCCCAGAAAGTTTTTTCGAAAAAAAGAAATAATAATAATAATAATAATTTAATTAATTAATTAAGTTAATTAATCCTATTTAGTTAATTTAATTAATCTGTAA